TCTTACAAATAAGCACATTTCCAATTTAAACACAATACAAGCACAAAGATGTAGTCAGCCTCCGGATTATTTTTGACATCTGTAATCGTTAATTAAACAAACAAAATTGACACAATGTAACAAAAATGGAAACACATATAGAGGTAACAGACTCATTAATCATGTAACATTATTCACTGAGAAGACTTGTTGTAGTTTAATCTCTCTGGGTCTGTTGATTATTATGCCACACTACAATGCATATGCAAATGAATTTCGGATGATGTTCAGATACCAGTGTTTACACAGTGTGCTACAATGTTAGTGTGACTCAGAGTAAGCCCAACGCATAGAGGTGACGCCATGAATAATTCTCATTTGCAGTTTTTTTTTATCCATTTGACCTGTAAAGCAAAAACATAAAGACGAATATGCTTAAAGAAAACCTTAAACACAATAAAATGGTTGCTCCTGGGTTCACGCCTGACTCCACTGACAAGATGGTTTAATGACTTCCTGGATGAGAAACAAAACTTAAATCAAATGCAAATTAAAATTTCTGGATTGTAGCTTTAAAGAAGTAGCAAAGTTTAACCCCTGCACAGTAATGGATTTCCAATAGCGTTCCCACCAAAGTCAGACTACTTTAAAACCAAGTAGTTAAATTATTCACCAGCACTCGCTCCACAGTTTAAAAGCCAATTAGGTGAACGTTTCATGGAAGTCAGGGACAGGATTTGATCTCCTGATGTCATTTTCAATTCAAGAGAGAATAAATTACACAAATGTGACAGTTCCAAAATTAAAGACCCCAATTCATCTGACACTCCTGTCAGGTGAATACTTAACAAGATAAAATCCACAATTATGTGATTTCGTGTTTTTTTCACTCACATGCGCACACACACGAATATAACATTTCCTCTTTTCATGTAGTTACAGTGAGAAGCAACACCAACACATATTTTAAATGCTGTTGTAGTTTAATCATATAAGACAGTTTTAAATGTCCGACAAAAAAGTTATTCTACATAGCAACCTAAACTCCTTTAATCACAGAGAGTTGGTGAAAAATAATAAAACAATTTGTGACAGAAATGAATTCCATCTAGCCAGTCCCAGAAGTGGTATGTAAATGAAAATGTATTGAAAATGATAATAGCAGTAATATTGTGCCACCATGTCACCAGTGCCTCCTCGTTCTTTGTCCTCAGGCAGTTTCAAAACATTTCTTCATCTTGTTTCCTCACCCTGAAAGCCTAGTTTGTGAAACTCCACCAGCGCTACACACAAGAGCACTCCCACTCAACCTCCCAGCCTGCTGAGAGCACTTGAAAGCAATTTTCTTTTAATCAAGTTCACTATAAAGGCCCCTCTGATGCCAACCTCAGCAACACTACCATTTTGTTTTTTCAGCTCCGTCGCTCTCTACACTATATTGATTTCTTCATGAGCGCTATGAAATACTGTTTACTGACATAATGAGAATTCTCTTTGAGTTTATTGCTTTTTCAGGACAGATACAAATATACGTGCACACTTAAGTGGAGGCCCCATTTTTCAAATATTTGCATCTACTTTTTGGCAACAAATATTTTTTAAACAGAACCAGTGGTACCTAATCTGGACACGGTTTTCTACATTCCTTCATTAATATTTAATACAAAGCTGAAAGTGAATTTAAGCTTTATTTTCTTACTTACTTCACCCAAATATTCAAATAAATATGCCTCGTGTTTTCTCCCAAACGCTCAATTTGGAGCTTTCTGCTAGAAAAAGCTTGTAATGGAAAAAGACGCAAGCTGAATTAGTTTGCTTTTTGTTTTAACCCAATAGTGATTGATAGTATTCAGAGCTTTAACAAATGTAAAAATACATTCTAAGTTTAGTAAAAGTCCTGCATTTCAAACTATTATCAGCAAACTGCACTTTTAGTTTTAAGAAATACTCATTATAAGGGCTGAAACTAATGACTATTTTCATTGATTAATCTAGTTTTTTCCTGGACTAATTGGTCTATTGAATAATAAAAAGTACTGAAAAACACCCAAGAACATTTCCCACAGCTCAAAGTAACATCTTAAAATTGCTAGATTTGAATCAAAGATGTTTTATTAACAATCAAATCATGAAGAAAAACATTAAATGCTCACTTTTTAAAGGCTAAAACCAGCAACAGTTTGGCATTTTTGCTTGATTATTCATCAATTTTCACAATTGTTGCCAATTTATTTTCTTTGATTATCTAATCACAATTTAGTTGTTGCAGCGCTACACATTATGTTATTATTGTTCATTGAATTGCAGCTTCTTTTATATGGTTTTTTGGCCCAACACAGCAAGGGGCTTCAACTAGACTCTACTTTTTTGTAAGGAATCACGAGCCCAAAGACCCCGACACACCAAACCGCCATCACAGATGAAGGCCGACTGTTGTGTCCCCTCATGTTGCCTGTGTCTCGGCCAAAAAGTTGCACTTGAACACACCGCAAAGACCACAGCCAACAGACAACACATACGCTTTATGACTGCGTGAGAGGTAATAACTCTCCATACCAGCAGATGGCGGTAGTCTGTATTTGTCATTAAAAAAAAGGGAAACTGGATGGATTTAATATGCTAGTTTGCCAATTAGCACATTAAGAACACATGTTGGAAGAACAAAGGATATTTAAGGATATTCATCTTACTTCACATGATGAATGACTGTTATTAAGTAAAAACTACTCTTAAATATCGTGGAGTAGCATAAAGTAGAATAAAATGGAAAACTCAAGTGTGTCTCAATTGTACTTGAGTGAATGTACTGAGGTACATTCCACCCATTTAAACCTTGTTCTTCAAAAGACAGGTGTGACTTTTTTTAGTAGGCTCAGCACAGCTCACCTCATGCATTTCCATCCATCCCTGATGTCCTCAGGCAAAAAAGTTTCTGCTGTATCACATTAGTGACGAACATATTTTATATCCACTTAATAGTCACTGACCTTGGGAGTGATGCTCTGAAGTGGATGTGTGTGTTGCCCTGCTGCATAGTTAATTCAGGCAGTGCCTCAACAAGAGCACCTTGTTTGATACATCGTGACTGCAGACATGTGCTGTTGTGAACAACGCTGCACTGAGGCGGTAAAATACATGTGAACAATGTGTGTTCAGTTCATTTATTTGAGTTGAATCAACAGAATACAGATCAATGACAGACTTTTTTTCATCAACTTAAAAACACTGAAAACTGTGTTCAGATCAAATGTGTGGCAGCCAAGGCCTTTTAAGTCAGAGATTTTAGCGCCCCCATCAGGCAAATTAGTGTGGTTTTCAAAATCCTGAATGTCAAAATGTGGCTTTTTTCAATGACAGACTGTCCTGACTGTCTAATGGAATCTACTTTAACTTTTTGACCTTAACAAGAGTAAATCGTGAAGTAAAAATACTGTAGTAAAGTAAAAATGCCAAAAACTGCAGTTCCTCTAATGGCCACTTGAGGGTGCCTCCAGAAGCAAGTCAATCCCCATAGGCCTCATGTTAAAATGCTCAACTTTACTGTAGAAATAAACATGTTTACAGCCTGGTACAAAAACAGTTTGGTCTCTATAGTTAATTTCAACATTCATGACAACTGTGCAGAGGCTGAATTTTTAAATAACTCAACCATTTGCATTTTATGAGACTTAAAGTTAAGCATAATTAAGGGCAGTGCTGCCATGAGTGACAAGCTGTCTACCAGGCGCCTCCACAACTCCAGCCTCTCATCTGAATATGGTCACTTCTGGCTCCAAAAAACCAACATAATGATGGCTCGAGGCTTCAGAATGGGAGTCCATTGGGTGATGTCACAATGGCTACATCCATTATTTTTATACAGACTATGGCTGAATCCAAAAGTCCAGACTTCACTGCACTTGTGGACTCTCGGACGTTGGTGCGGGGTACATTCCAGGAAGTCTGGGCGTGCTGAAACCTGTCCAAATCCAAAGTTCACACCTAGAGGAAAGTTTGACAAACATAAACTCTACATGGATCAAAAATTTATAATAGAAAGAGTCATAATTAACCTTGGTTGCAGTTCTAGTTGTACGGTCAACAGTTTCTCAGATGTTTCTTTTATAGTATTGGTCTACGGGGAAAATGATTTTTGGAATTTTAAAATACTGCGAGTGGCCACTGAAAAAAATGGCTGCAAGGGGCCTGGTCTTGCTCCTGTGTAGGAGATGAGTGGTGGGGTCCTTTGCACATCTGTGCCCAGGGGCCCATTGTCTCATAAATCGCCCATGAGTCTGTTGAACATGTGCAGGCTATAGCGGGATTTATACTTGTGCGGCAGACCCTACGCCGTAGCCTACGCCATTGTGAGCATTTATACTTGTGCAGTAGTGTGTCTGTGTCACTCAGCAGTTACACTTCCAAAACACTAGTTGGTGGTGGGTGTCTGTGTCTGTGAAATGCTGTAAAGTTGAGTTGATTCAAAACACACCTGAAACGCACATTAAACATGGCTTAATATAGACAATTTCAAACACGAGCACACAAATCAGCTTCACTATAACTCGCAGCGTTCACAGACAAAGCAGTTGTCTTTATCAGGACACATTTTCCCCACAAATACAACATGCTAACGTTATTAGCATAAGCCTATGGCATTTTACATTGTATAAATTAGCCTAGCAGCTAGCGAAAAATTCCTCTTCTCAAATAAAACCAGGAACAACAGCAACATTTAACAAAGGTGACTTTACAAAATTCAGCTCCATTACAACTCACAACAACTGTCTTATACTAAACACGTTTTCCAAACAAATATGTTAGCATTATTAGCACAAGCGTATGGCATTTTACATTGTATAAATTAGCCTAGCAACATGGTGTAGATTACGGCGTAGGCTATACGTCGACGCTGCTGGGACGTTTCCACGGCAACGAGTGAAACAGACTTGAGGCCTGTCTGTCAGCGGCTTGCAGTTAATGCATGGCAGATTTTACGTGATGACAGTGAACATATCACAGTATTCACAGCTGAATCAAGCGATATCATCACCCTCAACTTGACATCAACTTGACAGCTCAAACAGTGTTAGCTATCAGTTGCATGTTAGCATTTAACAGACACAGAGCGACATTAGCATTATTTGGTGTCGTGTTTCTTGCCACAAGGTGACTGTAAGTCCACACTCCTTTTCGGTCTGTTTTTGGTCACCAGCTTCTGTAGAAAAAAAAAAATCTGACTCTTTAGCTGCTAAATGCTAATTCCGCTAGCTAGTGGCTAATTGTGTTCGCTGCTGGCTAGATAAAGTACCGTGTAGTCGTTGTTCTGGCCTGCTGCGGCCAAATATTACAATGAGAGGAATGTGAGTGAACCAAATCAGTAAAGCAGTTCATAGTTTACCCAAACATTTTATTGCATTAGTGACAAATGTCTGTTGAAACTCTGAAACTCTGCCCTTGCAAATATATCTGCCTCCAGGCTGAAGCAATCATCATCATTCAGTCTGGGCATGACTGTTCCTCTCACACTGAATTTCTTGCTGTTTTCCTTTTGTACATCTTGTCTTTAGGTCAAGAGGACATGATGTGCCGTGAAGTCTGTTAGCAGAGACTGAACCTCAGAAGACTGAACAGAGGTGAGCCTCACTACTCTTTGTCTCCTGTCACAGATTAATAACAAAGATCCTTGAAATGATGGATGATAGCCCAAAGTTTAGCTCAGACATTATGAAGTTAGAGCAGTAATCGATGTGTAAAAAATGACAAGGCAAGTGTATTCATGGTGTTTCATAACCGTAGTGCTCTGGTCATGGCTTCAAGGTTTCAATTCGGTACTCACTTAAAGATGATCTAACGTTACTGCAGAAAAAAAACAGAATGAAATGTTAAATCCGAAAAAGATATCGGCAAGTTTGATTCAACACCACAGCAGGCACTAGACATACAACAGAAGAGCAGGTGGCGGAGCTGCTTACAGCGCAGCCAAACAAACTCATGTTGTTTTAATAAAGAGGTCAGTCAATAAAAGCCGCAGCCACAATCTGATTTCATGCTGCACACTGCGGATGTAGTCTTCAGCAGGACACAGTAAACTTGGTTACGTTGCTGATGAGTTGGAGGTGTGCTGTTGCTGCTCCTTCTCATTTCATTACTCTCTGAATTACATAAATCTGACCTGTTGGCCAAAACAATGCAAAAAATGTCTTGTTTTGTAGATTGTGGTAAGCACTAAGTGTCTGAGTGCTTCACAGTTAAAGCCACCATGTGGTTGGGAGGGAGTCGATACAATGCATCTATGCATCTAATATTTTAAGTCAAGTATAAATTTTGATTATTGCAAAAACAAAGTAAACCTTTGGTAGCCTGCTTGAATGATAAAATAATTTTATTGTTCAGCAAATTAGATAGATTTGTGATGACTGAGGAGAAATTAACAGACTGAAAGCTATCTAATTATATAAACAGATGTTGATAATGTTTGGGGACACAATTTGCAGCTGAAAAAAGCTAAAAAAAACTGCAGTATATTTCAGTATATGTTATTGCAATACTTAGCGTATCGCAGTGCATTGAAATCGCAATAATATTGTATCATAACAAACATATTGTGATGATATTGTATAGTGGGATCTCTGGTGATTCCCAGCCCTAGTGTTTAGACAGATGATCACTTTAAATGTGAAGTGGCCGGATTAATGAATGTTCATGTTTGCATTAGCAGTAATGTCTCTGATACACAGTTAGGAGAGTGAACAGTAAACACTGAGGCTGTTTCCTAAGCCCTCTTCGCACAGGACTAGTATTACCAGGGGACCTCATGAGATTTAGAAATAATTACCCCCCACACAAAGTCTGTATTTTACCTGAATTTAATGACCATATATCCCGGATATGATGCTGAGGGTCATTTGTTACTCCACTCTACACAACACAGAAACACCAGTGTTAACCTCTATGTTTTTAACAGGCTTAAACCAACCAAACCAATTCTGCCCAACGTTCTCACGTCATCCATCTCATCATCTTTTCAGAATACACTCTTATGATTGAGCTTGCTCTTTCTGCAAATGGTTCTCCGTGCTGTGTAGTGAGATGAACCTCCTGCACCCAAAATGCTGTCGAAACTTTCATTTATAATTTCCAACGTAGCCGCCATAATTCTCGACTGCAAAAGAGGCAGAAATGAGGTGCGGAGAAAACAAAACACCTTGCAAAAAATAAATAAATAATATATATATGACCCCAAATCATAAGATGCTGATTCTCACAGCACTACTACTAGTACACCTACTACTTGTAGGTAATTTGCGGTGGAATATTTACGTGACAAATTACGCACCGGGCAGATTCACATGGGATTAAGGTCACAGATGACCTCTGCAGTCATTACAAATTGTCAGAGGTTCCCAGGTAATATTAGTCCCATACAAATAGGAATTTAAAAACAGTAATGATGGATTTTGCGCTTCACTGTTTCCTATGAATCGTGCAGAAATGGCAGACCCTGCCACTAACAATGAAGGCTACTAAAATTAAAGACAGGTAAATACAGAATACTAAAAACATAATAGAACATACATAATGTCATGAGGTTCAATTTCATTGAATGTATAGCTTTACTTTTACACATAGGTGTAGATTTTGAGGGGTTATGGAGTGGATATGCCCCCCTCAGTATTTAGAACATGTGCATCAGTCCCCCCCAAATAAATTGATGCAGAAAAATTCACCACAATGCAATAAATTAAGTGATTGATACTCAAAATTTTCTGGCGGAGGAACCCCCAAATCCCTGTTTCATATATGTCCCCCTAAATGTTAAAACAAAACCTACATCTTTGTTAATACATACTATACATTCATTGACTTCATCTGCATATTTGGACACCCTACAGTGTATGGATGATCAGTTAAAAATACATAAACCAAGTGAAAAAGGTGAGAAACTTTAGAGAATGGCGATCAATACTCAAACTGTAATCCTGACCCTGGACTTGGCTGAACTGTTCTTTCTATGAATTTTAAAGTGGCTACACATGTAACCATTGGAGAAGCTGCACTTTTCTCTTCCTTCTTTCACTCTCCTGCTGCTGCATTGATCCCCAAGAGGAGACCCTGTAGTGCCCATACAGGATTGAAGCCATGTAGTCAGATTTGTACGCTGAGAGCTTCTGGCAGAGTAGAAGCAAAGTGACTTCTGCCTGCAGAGACTCAAACTGCAGCAATAATGACTTTTTTCCTACAGTATACAGCCTTTACAGACCCAGTAGACATTTTATTGAACACATGAAACAAAATGAACACTGTTGTTGACTCAGATTCAAGTAAACAATAATTTGGCCATCAGACGAAAAATATTGAAATGAAATGTAATGTACTGTATTATATGTGCAAAAACAAATTTAAGCACATTAAAACACTCCATAACCACCTCACATGCTGTTTTAAAAATGGAAAAGATTATATAGAAAATGGTTAAAATTGCCTTACAATATATAATCTACTAATCAGGAGGTAATAGTTTAAATAGAATACTGTCAAATAGATCAAGTATGGAAATTACATCGCAGCTGCCTAATGTGCTTTAATGAAATCTCAAAAAGAAGCACTTTAAACAGGCGGCACAAAAGGTACTTTCACCAATAAAACTGAGAAATGAATAAAGCCCTGAAACACCTTTTATATTAGATATTAAAGTGAATTCTTTGTGCTGCAGAACTTTGTGAATCTAAGTGGAAACAAAAATAAAAGCTTAGACGTTAATAGGTACATTTCCTTGGCTTTTTCCTATTTTCAGCTCCAATCTTCTGTTTCAATTTCCTATTCTCTGTGGCCCAGTTTATATCCAAAGAAAAAACTGCAATGCTGCAAAAAAACCTGAGGTGATTACTTTGGCTAGCTGTTTGTAGCTACCTGTTGCAATGATGATGATGGTATACAGAGCTCAAGTTGTGCAACAATAATGCAGAGTTGTGCAGAGTTCACCCTCCAATCTGTGTTAATGAGAAGCCTATAAATGCAATCATGGTGTGCATTCAGGCGACATATATATCTTCAGCTCTGAGGCACAGTGTAGAGGTGCAGTGAGTGTCCAGCAGCGCACCGGGCCACCCACCCTGAGGTAGTTATACAGGAAAAGATGATGTGCCTGGAATGGAATATTTGCATCTCAGGACATGATCTTAAATCCTGTGTTTTGTCACAGTTTTAATGATGGTACCCTCAATGAGCTCAGGTTGCATCGTATCAGCGCTGACCCTGGTGGGCTGAATTCTGGTGACACCTTCCAATCTGTGTTAATGAGCCGACTCCGCTCTGTCTACGGGTCACGGTGATATTTACAGAAACCGTTGTAGCGGCAGATATCCACGCCTCCCCGTGGCGCTCCCTCGCCTCATTTGCATAGCTTTCAGACTTCCCTTTCTCGCTCTCCCTCTTTCACCGCTCTCGCTGTGCTCTTCCATGATCGACAGGCTCCTTCGCACTTCTCTTCAGTTTGTGTCGCACATGTTAATTAAAGCCTCTAATTAGCTTTCCCCACTAAAAGGCCGCATTAAATCAGAGTTGGAATGGCAAATGATTCCTGGCATTAGCATAATTGTGTTTTTGAAGTGTAAAGATTTGGGCATTAGGGATGCTAGCACGCGTTTTTGTTTCAGTGATTTGTTGTGTTTGGGGCTCAGGGCCCATGGGGCCACTGGAGGTTGGCTGTGTGGGTTTAGGGGCCCCAGGACCCTACAGGGGCCACACACTAATGAGGCCTGCTCCTCTCTGATGGAGCAGATACAGGAAAAACAAACCTGTGATGCGGTACCCTCAGGTGGTCCTGAGAGCCTGGCAGAGCGGAACAGGACGCTCGTGGAGTGTGTGTGTGTGGGTGTGTGTGAGAGAGAGAGGAGACAGAAGGGAGATAAAGTTATTACTATTTTTATTATTATCAGAGATTGGCATGTACCATGCCTTTTGCCCAGTGCATGCTGGGATTGGCTAAAGGCCACAGTGACACTGAACAGGCAACAGAAAATAGAAACACGATGAAAAGCTCGACTGAATGTAATGATCAATGTGCATATGTTCACATAGGACCATGTAAAAATGATGTAGTGACACAAGCTCTAAAACTGAATACAGTGTACAACAGAACACTTTAAAGCCATTTATGACCTCATCATGGTGAGATGTTGATATTTAATTCTTACCAATGTTGTAGTTGACTTCTACAGGACATGGCAAAGTCCATAGCTTCATGTAAGACACTTCACAATTTACTATTTTGATATATTGTGTACAGGATTACAGTAATTCAAAATTGTCATTCCACACAGGAAGTGATGCTTTTTTTTATCCTGGTCATCAGAAGTGCAACAGGGTGCAGTTAAAATTTTGGATCTTCTGACTAGGGCTGTAACCTGTGGTGGACATTAATAGCTTATTAGTGCAGTAATAGTATTATTTTTCCAAGTAACAAGTAATATAACAAATTACTAAAATCTGAGTAATATTATTACAGTTACCCCAAAATTAAATAACTAGTTACAACCTTACTTTTGTTGTCAACCCCCTACTGATTTGAAACCCAATAATCATCTGTATAGACTCGTTCCATTGGAAAAAAACATGACCTCAAACTCAAATG